TTTCTTAGCAAACCTAGTCCCTCAAAATATGGGAAATGGATCCAAGAGAAGAGTCATATGACACAAATATCAAAATTGGTTAAACTTATCTTAAACCTTTCTTTATTGGTAAGTAATTTACCATGAGTAACTTTTCAAAGAAAGAATTGAATTTCAGGAAATTTACCATTGATAATAACAAGAGGATTATGAAATTTAGACAAACAGTCATAAGCAGATTTATTGGTAAACCATTCAAATTATGAGTCCAATGGGCAATATCAAGTCCAACAGCAGAATTAGGAGGACTAAAGCCAGAAATGTAATCACAAACCGTAGAGGGGAGGAACTGATCAATTAAATAACAATTTCAAGACCCTTGAGACATAAACATAGATGGGTTAACTTATCCTTACCAAGTAGCCATTGTTCATTCCAAAAATTTGTTGAAAAACCTTTCCCAATATCTCATTTTATATTCTGCATTAAATGAGGCCAAAGGGACATAACTCTGCCAAATATGGGAACATTTTTTGTGTCTACTTATTTCAGGGGTAATAGCCAGGTATAAATTCATATTTAATTCTTTAGACTTGAACTCAAATATCATAGGAGAGCTACTTACCTTCGAGCTCAGTTTTAACATATATGCATAATTAAGTCTATGAAGGTCCCTAAAACCAAAACGATGCCCAAATTTTACTCTCAAAATTATAGGACATTTTCGACTATTAGCGGATCCCAAATAATTTTTTTTGCATAAACTGTTAATGTAATTACAAATAACTTTAGGAATTTACTGGTTTTGCATTAAATAGTTAAGAATGCTAAGAATACTGGACTGAGCTAGTATAACTCTACCAACAAAAGGATAGTGAGTTACCTTGCCAATTACAGAATTTTTCCCTGACTTTCTCAACAGCAAAGGAAAACAATTCCTTATTAGATATATTATTACATAGGAATAATAAGGTAATGCCCTAAGTTAGAAGTTTGAGGAATTTGAAAAGTCTGAGTAATAGATGAGACCAAACAATGATTAGTATTAGTGGAGAAATTAATTTTAGATTTATTCTTAAAATTTATGAAGAGTTTCATTAATCATATTAGTTTGTTAGTTATTATTAGCTTTAGCTATAAGTATAATATCATCCACAAAACATAAATGAAAAATCTTATGATCATTAATACAAAAAAATGGGTTCAAACTCCATGATTTATTTCATTACTAATACAATGGACTAGATGTTCAATACATAAGATAAACAAATAAATATATAAATGATTTTCTTGTTTAATTCTTTAGAGGGGAAAAACTTTCAGTAAAAAAAACTATTCCAATTAAAACACATAGAAGATGATGAAATGGAATGATAAACAAGATTAATAAAATTAAAATGAAATCTAGTCAACTAAAGAGTATATATACTAAAGTTCCAGTTTAATCTAACATAATTTTTTTTCTTAAATTCAACATTAGAATCATGAAACCATATTCACCTTCTAAATATTTGAAAGAATGCAGGCCTTTTTAAAGTATGATTACATTATCAATTTCTTGCTTTCTAGAAATAAAACTATATTTGGTTATTAAATATTCAATAGAAAAAATAATTTTTTAATTTACTAAGCCAAATTTTAGTAATAAATTTATAACTAACATTATATAGAGAGATAAGTCTGAATTGGTTGATATATTTAGGATTGAGAACTTTAGGAATAAATGTTAATTTTGATTTATGTATAATATTTTTTAAAATTTAGAAAAAATTACAAATATTTTTTAATTATACAAAAGGTCAGCCATAAGATAGAAAAAGATGAAGAGGCAGAAGATAAATTTCTCCCATTAATATTATAGTTAAGTTTTGAAGATGTTAATCAAGCTAGCTAATCCAGATAAAAAATCATTGAATAAAAAATCCAAAGATTTGATTTAGATCACAACTAGAGTCTTATATAATTTGAAACATGCTATGAATACTTAAAGAATTTGATTAAAATACATTAGAAGCTTAAATATTATTAATATTGTTAGTTAATCATTGATTGCAATATCAACAAGTATTTTTACTTTTATAACAACTAATTTCTTTATTTTAATTATTTGGAAAGGAAAGTATAAGTTGAGTTACACTTGTTTACTATTTACTACGTGTAAATGATAAAATTATAGTTAATCAAGAATGATGTGTGAATTACACACTTTGTAATATTTTCTTATGTTAATTTTATTCTAAACTTTAGAAATTACAATTGTTATTTTGGTCTAATTACAAATATCCTTTATTAGAGGCAGGCTTATTTGAACTGAGTAAAAATACTATGGGTAGCAAAATTATTCCTTCAAATATTTAACACAACTATATTTATTGACAAAAAATTTATATTTATTTTATAATTTTTTTTTGTTGTAAATACCTATTTTTACCTTTATAAAAATTATCTTAACTTTTTTTATTTTTTCAAATTTAGCATTTACTTTTATATTGACGGTTAACATTTAATCCAATAATTTTTTTAACACTATGCAATAAAAATATTATTTTAAAATATATTATATTTTAAAATCATTTAATTTTATTAATTTTATAATATTTTGATTAGATACTATTCATAATTATAAAGTCAAGTCAAAACAAATTTTTAAAATTATTATTTAAAATAATTTTATTATATATTTAAAATATAAAATTTTATTCTTTAATTATTATATCATATATATACATGTTATAAAATAAAATATTTGTACATTGCAGGAGATACTAAAATTATTTAACTTTAAAATTATGTGCATTTTATGGTTAATTAATTAAAAGTGTAATTCTTTTACAATCACAATATATCAAATTTAAGCTTTATAATTAATGCGCTAAGAATACGTTATGTGTATATTATAATTATAAACAACCCTGGAATAATAATAAGATTATGTAATATATATGGATCAAAATAAATGCTTGAATTGCCTAAGAAAGTTTCCTGATTTCAGGATATGACGTTTCTGTGATTTTGGGATACCTAATTATGGGACGTTTCATGAAGTCTTACAGAAGTGTAATATATATCGTTGTTTGAATTTGGAGTGTTTCTTATGTATCATTAATTTGCTGTGTTTTTCAATCATTTGAGTCATCAAGAAACAAATATGAATTAATTAATGATTTATAGTCTAATTCACTTAAATAAACTGTCTTAAACGACTTTGATGCCATTTCTAACAAGTATCGAACAAAATTTATTTCTTTTTGCACGCCACTCAAGTTAAATCTGAAAATAGGGTTTTCTTGAATGCCGTAGAGCTGGCAGTGTTTAAGATCACGTGTCCACAAAATTCTAAGTTGTGCACGCCTAGCAATAAACTCAACTTGGACATTCTTCTTCATCATTGCCTATGTTTACGGGGAGAATGAATATTCTTTAGAGTTCTAATTTATATATAGTTACATAGTATTTTAGGGTTTATTTTATTTTATTTTACTTTTTTCATTATATTATTATTATTTTACTTCTGTCTCTCTTTATCATATCTTATTAGTTATGATACTTTACTAACCATTACATCGATTTTTTATGAGATTTCGTTCTACCAACACTTTGTATTTTCATAGATTTTTTAAAATAAATTTTAGTACTTTAATTTTTAAATATTTGTCAGAAAGTGAAACAAATGCAAAATTTTCACGTAATTAATTTTATCTCATGAAAATACCAAAATCTCAAATGAAAAATTAATTTAAGGCAAAGTATCTATTTAGGCCTATGTAACTTAATTTAAAATTTTAAAGCTCGGGCAATCGCATTTGATATAGATTATGCCTTCGGTAGCCGCATTTTCTTGAGACCACCCCGCTTGTACTTACATGTGTATTGTTTATCCGAGTTGGTGACTTTTTGAGTTGGAAACAGAATGACTCCATCATACATTCAGCAGGGGAGTTTGAATACAAGAACACTGATTGGCTTCTTATGGAGGGGACCAGACTGAACCCTTATGCTTAATTCCCAAGAGATCTTCCTCTCCACATTCCCTTTTCCTTTTCAAATCAATGTTTTTCACTTTTCTTATATTTTTTTTGGCAACTCATTTCAAGGTGACTGTAGTTTCTGTCTATTGCGTGTTCAGGGTAGATTTGTGGTCCATTCCCCATTTTAAGTCAACAGGTGAAGAACTAAAGAAGGTTTAGCTAATTTTATTTGTTCATTAACCATCTATTGATTATAAGCTATTCTGCTCAAAATTATTTACTTGCCTGTACCATTTTTACTACCTTGTTAATACATCATTCCTTTTTACATAATAAAATGAGAGATACACAGTTGTAGCACACATTATTATTAACTTAATTGTTTTTATCTAATTATGTAAGGAATGCTATAAAAAAAATGAAGCATAAGAAACATTTTCTTTCTCTATTCTAGTATGGCGATCAATTTTTCTGAACTTAAAAAAGTAACCATGTTTGCGCTTGGTCTTGTTCCGAAAGCACTCGCCCTATCACATACCAACTAAAAAATATTTAATCTTTATATATAATGTGATTTTAAATCACTGGTCTTGTTCCGAAAGCACTTGCCCTATCACATACCAACCTACAAAATATTTAATCTTTATATATAATGTGATTTTAAATCACTGGTCTTCATTCTCTTTCAAAAAAAAAAAAAAAAGATTTTGCTGTTTTCTTTCTTGATTGGAGTCTTGAAAAAAAGACGAAGACAGAAAGGAAAAAAAAAACATTAAATTTCTTCAACTTCCCATCCATTCTTTGAACATTAATTGAAGCAATCATGGTTCCCATGTATTAAAACAACGGCCCCTTAGGGAGAGGGTGGCGCTTATGATACTCACTGTCTGTACTGTGTTACATGTGCTACACGACTTATTATCGTGTCACGAGCAGCAAGGTGCGCCACAACTAACTCCAGCCAATATATAATTTATCTTTCGGATGTGTGTCTCATTCACAACAAAGCCTATCCTTTCAAAAACTTCCAATTTTTTTTACCAACTCCCTCAAATGTCACCCAACAAGACTAATACTCATAATTTCATACCTGCTACGCCAACATGCACTAACTGTTCTTGTTTCTTTTGCATCATGTCCGAAACAGTTCCTTCCCTCAGAAGAGCGAAAATAACTCGCTACTTCAAACAAATGCCCCTTAGAGATGACCAAGAACACATCTTGGCGTTAAGTGGGCTCTGGAAAATCGCTATAACTAACCCAAACGATCCAGAATTTCCTTCCCTTGGCATCTTTAGATGCATGGCCAAGTTAATCCAGAAAGGAGTCAATAACAAAGATTGGCTTCTCAGATGTCAGAACATATATATCCCTTATTATGCAGCGCATATTATTGGTTCTTATACCATGAACAAACCCAAGTTTGCGGATAAAGCTGTCAAGTCCAACGTTGTTCAGCCGCTGATGGAACTGCTTCGAGGCAAGATTAGTTGGGTTGAACAAAGAGTTGCACTTCGTGCACTGGGTCATCTTGCTAGCCATGAAGCAACTTTTGAAGCCGTTGCTGGACATGAAGCTCAAGTCATAGAAGCCGCCATTAACATAGCTTCCACGTGCCTAAACGAGGTATATGAAAAGTTTGTTGGCTTGAAGAGATCAGAGAGGTTGGAGTATCATAGGAACTTGCTAACAAGAGGGCATGGAGACTTGGAATTAGAGAATAGAAAGGCAGAAGAATGGGCCAGCCAGCTTCAATGTTGGTCTCTCTATCTCCTTGATTGCTTTGCATGTAAAGAAAGATCTTTGGGATTAATCTGCAAAAACCAATTCTTAAGGGATTTGTGTGGAATGTGGGGTGGTTTGTCAAACCCAACTTCACCTGCTGGAATAGGACTTCTCAGAACACTGTGCCACACCCAAATAGGGAGAGAAAGAATAGCAAATTTGCAAGAAGTGCTTGTGAATATTTGTAATGTCTCAAGGTCATCAGATGATAGACAACACATGGCAATTGATAGTCTTTTGCAACTTCTCAGAGATCCTATTACAAGATACAAAGTAATAGATACCGCTGCTCCAGTTCTTGCTGATTTGGTTGAACTTAGAAGCATGGGAGGGAAACCCAAAGTAGGACAAGCAATCGTGCAAACCCTTTTACAGGATTACCACAAAATCAAGTTTGGCGAGATGAATTTGAAAAGCGAAAGAACCAAGAGAACATTAGAAGAATTATGGGGTTTGAAGGTTGAAAGAGTTAAAAGAGAAAGCCTAATGAGTGAACAAGAAATCAGAGAAAAAGAAGTGTTAGCAGGTGTTTTAAAACAAGAAGGAAATAGAGAATTTTGGTCAGGGGAAATCGAAAAGGCTGTGATGAAGTACACTGAGGCATTGAATCTGTGTCCATTAAAGACTAAGAAAGAGAGAATTGTGCTTCATAGCAACAGAGCTCAGTGTCACTTGCTTCTTGGAGATGCTGAAGCTGCACTCAGCGATACCACTCGTGCTCTGTGCCTATCGAATGTGGCGTGCGAGTGTCTTCACAGTAAGAGTTTGTGGAGAAGATCACAAGCTTTTGACATGAAAGGGTTAGCTAGGGAGAGTTTGATCGATTGTTTAATGTTCATCAGTAACCGTTATGAGTCTCGGAAGAAAAAGGGTTTCAAGATACCACACTACGCAGCACGTATGGTTAACAAACAGATGAACGCCACGTGGCTCTTTGCTGAATCGGTTAAGTCAAGTTGGCATCGCACACACGAAGAAGTGGAAGAATTCGTGGTTCAAAATAAAATGGAGTCTCTCAGCTTGAAGAAGACGACGAAGAGAATATCGAAAGGTAAGTGATAGATTGGTTGTTTTGATCTCTCTGGAAAGTTCGTCTTCTTTCCCGTGTTCTCGGATGTATAAACACATGCATGGTACTCCGAACAGTAATTGTACCGGTGCCGGGTAGGTATTCGGTAAAGTTACTTGTTCGATACTAAATTTTAATTTTTTTCACACTCATTTTTTTTTATAATTTTTTTTCTTCCTTATCACTTATTTCACAACACATTGTGGGGTATGACAATAACATTACTCTTAAATGTCCCTGATTACAGGTCAATAACAATAATGCATATAATAAGTGATGTAAACAAACAAATAAAATATGGCGAGAAAAGGCTGTAAAAAACAGAACGTGACAAGAAGATTGAATACTATTGATTGTGATTTACACAGTAGAATCATATTACTAATGCATATAATTCTGTAAACTTACTTTAAGTTACTGGTCCTAAAACTATTATTTTTTATTTAATTTCTCATTTTAAATTTTTACAAACTGTATAAAACATTTTTTTTTATTTTTTTTATGCTTTATTTCTCATTTGATCTCATAAATTTGTATTAATTTCCATCTTAAAAAAATAAATAAAAATCTATTATATTTAAAAAGAGTTAATTTTGATATATTATCAATATAATATTTTTACAATATCAATCGGTTAAAAATTATCGTAGTATAAAATTTAAAATAATTGTTATAAAAATTAACAATTTTTAATGATTCATGTGCTTGATGGTAGACAGTATTACTTAACTTAAATTCTTAAAAAAAAAAAAAAAACTACAGGGAAAAATTGAACAAATGGAAGTCTAACGGAATCGTTTAATAAATAATATATGTTTTACAACCAAGTGGAAATTGAATTAAGCCTAGAACTTGTCTTTGAATTTTGGTTTGTTTTTGTTGGGCTCAATAGATAATATGACCCAAAATGAAAAAAACACCAGTTAAATTGAGCTTATGATTTTTATTACTCTGTTCTGGCTTCAATCCCACACTCCCAAAATAAGTTTACAAAACAGCGAGAAGCCGGGAACGAACGGATACCTTCTAGAATAGAACATTCTCCTACAAAATTATTGCAGACCTATCGCAAAATCTAAAAGTTCTTCTAGCATTAAAGTTGGAATGATACTCCTAATCCTATCTAACTTACCTAAAATAATGGTGTTAAGGTTGAAATTTCTGAAATTATTTTTTAGATGAAATATCAATCTTCTTACTGTCAATTAAAATCGGCATTTTAATATAAATATGACTGCGATTGATTTAAACCCGTTTTAAATACACTTAATAATTCGTAATTAATTATATTAAAATTAATTTTACTTAACTTTGAAACAAATAATCCTAAATGGCGAATGTATACGTATACCATGAGGTATTATCATTAAAATATAAAACAGGAAATGAAGTTATAAATGGGAATGTTTGATAAAATCTTTCTGAATAATATCTCAAGATATAATTTATTTATTAAAAATCACACTAAAAATGCATTAAAAATCATAGTTTTAAGTTTATTAATGACACTTTCTAATAAACTTTAAATTTTATTCCTTGATCAATGTCCATTTATCTTAAAAGTTAGAATAACGTGATATCCAAATATCACTCTCTAACAAGGAAAATACAAATGTTATACATCTCTGTTATCTATTTTTGGGGCGGGGACCAAGTAGCGGTGGTTATTGAAATAATGGAGAAAATAAATGGTAATGTCATCGTCCAATACCCAGACTTACATACTGTACAATCACGAAAATATATTATTACATTTTAAAAGGCACGCGTGCAGATTAAGCCCCAATAGAAAGATCAGTAAGTTAATGTAAAGCTTTTAACAGATCCGCTACATTTTCCAGCAGGTTACGAAAGACCAGCAGCAATATAGTTATCATGCGACCATAAAGAGACCTACAACAATCAGACAATACATCGAATTTGCTTTAGCAGAAGCATTGAATTGAACTATTATGTTGTGCAATACACGTAAAATTCTGCATATTGGGAGGTTAACAATAAACCACTGCAGCACAAGAATAGAAATTAAACGATCAACAGAAATTGAAAGTAATGCACCAATGCCAACGACTCACGTGGCCATTATTTCAGGAGTTCAATCATCAAAAGTGCTCAAGGCAGCAACAACCGACCCTGTTGTTGCAAAAGTTGATGCGACATCATGATAGTCTTTCCATGAGGTTGTCACCTTCAGAGATGGGTATAGCCAACTTTTGACAGAATCCACAAAGGAGTTTGGATCCAAGTTCAAAATGGCTTCCCAATCAACCTGAAAACCTTGTGGAATACTTCCTGTGAACTCCATATTAGCAGCAAGTAGCAAGCCCAGCATAACTACAAATCCAACTGCAGCAGATCCTCTGGACAGCGGCATAAAGTTATACCTGAAGAAAAGTGCAGAGAGAGATTTAAAGAAAGACTTCGACCAAAGAAAAAGATTTACAAAATGACTTAAAATGATTCAAGAGGCTACGATAGTTTATTGATAACGTCGTACCAGTAATATGTACACCTTAAAATTGCATCTCTCACATTTTCAAGTGCGTCAAAATCAGTAGACCCATAACTTTCACCACAGTAAGCATTGCAGAGAGCCTAACAGATAGCAATGTCAAGATGAATACATACAAGGCAAACTGTCACAATTCATCTAGTAAATTGAAGAACAAAGAAATAAACATGTATTCATATGAAACTAAGGCTTTGTGTGGGAGTTTAAAGGGAAACGGAAAGAAATTGTTTGAAGGGTAATGAAGGAGAGGAGACGGGAGAAGGAAGGAGGATTAATACAAAACCTTTCATTTTGGGAGAATTATGAAAATTTTGTAGGGTTTATAAACCCTCCCTCTCATCTAAAAACTCCCAAGCAATGATAACCATCACACAAGCCTTCCCCTTCTCTCCCCTTTCTTCTAAAAACCAAGTCTAAAACAAAGCCTTTAAGATTGATGTATGATAGTAAATTTCTAAATAATTCTAATGAAAAAGCATCAGTCATTGTCTAATGATAAAAGGGGCATGGGATCATTGGTAAAGACTAAAAAACACATTCTTTTCAAAAGCAACATAAAGTGATCACATAGGGTCACATCTATTGGTGAAAATAATATAATCAAAGTTGTTTGGTATAACATACTTCCCACGCCCTCGCCATTTCTGCATCATAATCTTCCCATCTAGCAGGTGTACAAGGTGTTCTAATGGCAAAGTCAAAACCATGTTCACCCCTGAAAAATATTCATCAACTCCCACAGTTAGGTATGAAAGATAAAGTTAAGCCACAAGAGAAAGGGAAAGGGGAGCAAATAACTTCAATTTTCACTGTTTCACGCTTACATTTTTACAAGTGTTATCCTTGTCCCTTCAAGCTGTTTCCTGAAGAATCATTGACATCCAGAAATAAGCATTTGAAAACATTATATGTTTCCCAGGCACCATTTCCTGGTAATTATATCGAAGCACAGAATTGGTTGAAAATCATAGGACATTTTGAGCATGCATACTTACCCTTCAAATGCAGTACTGTTGCACCAAGTAGCTGACCAGAAATCCTCACCAATAATATTATAAAGATCAGAGCAAGATTTGGCATGCATGACCTGAACATCAAATATTGAAGATCATCATAAAAGCATGGACTACTGATGTATTATTATTCACACTATGTTAAAAAAAGAATAACACGTAACATCCACCGGATACCATTATTAAGAATTGGAAACAATCACAAGAAAGAGAAGGGAAGTCTTGAATCATTTATTCATCAAAAAAATAATATTTAGAAAATCTTATGCTTCAACAATTTTGAAGGGAAGTCCTATTCTATTTATTAATTAAGAAAATCAAACCAACTAAAATTTTTCGATTACATGTTTCATAGTTGTTAGAGATATAAAATCATTTTTGTCTTTAACTTAAGCTTTTAGGTTAATTAGTTGTTAGAATAGAATTAGAGCCTCTAACCAAATAGTCAAGAGTTCTATCCATGCCTGCTGCTGACTTCTAAATAAAAAGTTGAATTTCAGCATTGTCTATGTATCAAGCTCAAAGGGCTCTTGTGCTTATGTGGGTTGGGGTACAAAGAACCATGTGTCTCATTGCCTAACAGCTAAGTAACTATTTGTTTTACCCAAGAATCATGCTTGCGGTGAGTAAAATTGCAGTGTTAGTTTTATTTGGTTACAACTTTGGGTACTCAATCAATTTTGTGATGAGTAGAATTCATATTAATAGAAGTAAAAACTTTTATCTTTTGCAGCAACTAAAACTGATTCTAGGCAAGAGACAATCAAATTCTTAAAAGTATATCTATATTTATCCTTTCAAAGGTGAATCTATTTTATCATCCAAACAAATTTAATTCTTCTAAATTTACTGAAATATGATTCCCAAACACAAATTTTTCAAAATCAATTCTTTTGGCATCCTTTTAAAATCATTTCCACTAAAATTAAACCAAATGTACCCTTAACAAGAGAGTTGATCATTGGCAATGGTTTGGCACATAAGAATTAAGAAATGCTACCAATCATGCAGATCACCTCTTCTAATTTCCCATCTTTGGAAAGATGAATTATCTGATCTGTTTTGCTGTAGACGTATGTTCTCTCTTTTATGACAGTCTTTGCGACATCTAAAGTCCTGTGATATTTAAAAATGAATGAGCATTCCAAAGCTAGGCTATTAGTATAGAACTTAAACAGGCTATTTACCTTTCATAGTTAGGAAAGTAACGGACAACTTTGGCTTGTCCCAGAATCATAGGCGTGTGAGAACCAAATCCAGAATTAAACTCTTCGCTGCAGAGCAAAGAAGCAAATTAAAAATCCAAAGATCTGAATTTGATTAAACTCCAAGTAATGATTTGATGAGAATGAGGGAACATTAACCAAATATTGCCGCAAGTGAAAAAGCAAAAACTTTTCTAAGCTAGACCAATATAATTATGAGCCTATTTGCATAAAACACTGAACATTTTAGCATAAAATCT